CCTCGTCCTCTCCCCGCTTCTCCTCTTCCATTCCTCCTCCTCCTCCTCCTCCTCCTCCTCCTCCTCCTCCTCCACCCCATGGTGGAGGAGGTTGAGGAGGAGGAGGAGGAATAACATGCTCCTCCTTCTCCACCTCGTCCCCCTCTTCTCTTGCATCGGGGGTGCGCAGAGGGGGTCTCGGCCCAAGGCGGGATCTCCATCCTCCAGGGGCTGTCCGGAGCGATCCTCCTCTGACCCCACCCCTGTCTGGCTCTGCCTCACCTCTGCGTTCTGCAGGCTGCTCTTCCTGTTTCCCCGGTCCTCGTTTTCCCTGATCCTCCATCCCCAGTTCGGGGGCAACGATACGGGGGATGGGCGTAGGGCGGGATGCATCATCGCCCATTGATCGCCGATAATTAGGGGCCCGATAGCCCCAACCTGCCCAGGAAGGTGCGGATCCACTATCGGGGGTCTATCGCCGATCTATCGGCGATGTATCGCCGATTTTTGGTCGATGCTTCCCTCACTATCCCTATCCCCCCTTATCGTTGCCCCTCACCAGTTCCCTCCTGCTCCTCCCCCTGCTCCTCTGCAGGCTGTGCGAGCTGGGGTGCCCCCCGAGCCGTGGGTGTCCCCCGCTGGCAGCTCCTGGCCGTTGCCGTTGTGTCGGGCCTGTCTTTCTACCGAAGGAATATTCAAAAATAGCCCAAACATATAGAATGGGGACTTTTTTTGTGAGTATTCGTTTTGACTATTTTTGAGTTTTTTCTATATTTCCATTTTTCGTTCAAAGTCCGCCTGTAGAGGGACCTGCCCGACCCAATGTTACCGTGCCACACACCCGAGGCCAAAATCTGCCTGTAAGGGGACACGCCCGACCTAATCCTCGCCCTGAACAGGCTTCTCGCTGTCGCCTCCCCCACTGCAGTCGAAGCGTGCGTGTGCGCGAAGGCGTGCCGGGCAGGTGCCCGCGCGACCGCGCCGATCGCGGAGTGCAAGCCGCACATACGCGCTGTGCGCCGCCTGCGCAGACGTGCCCACAGTCAAGGCGCTGAGTTGTGGGCCGCTCTGGGCCCGAGAGGTGCTCTGGCTTTCAGGCTGTTCTTCGGTTTAAGGTTCGGGGGCCTAACCGCGGCCAAGGCTCGTTGAGGCCATCAAAGCCCCTTCGTTCCTCATTCAGCATCCCTTATGGTAGCACCATGACGGTATGTGTGAGGAGCAAGAAGTCATGGCATTGCTAGTTTCCACAACTTGCATGATCTGCCACTGTTCTGAGAGGGCTGGGCATTCCAAAACTGTTGGGATGCACCCGAGCAAGCGGCTTCGTGGCATTCCGCGTTGCTTGCATTCTTCTCTCCTTTTTCTCCTGTCTGGGGGTAAGGCGCGGGGGGGCCAAGCCTTAAGCCTGGCCTGTCCTTCTACAGGAGGAAAATCCAAACATTGCCCAAAAATTGTATGTGGACGATTTTTTTTTTCTTATTTTTTGAGCGTTCCTTCCGTGTGTTTCCTTTTCTCGCCCCAACTCCGCCTGTAGAAGAACACGCCCAACCTAAGCCAAGCCCCGGTAACGCTTTTGGACGGTCTCGTCGGCCACGTTCGCGCCCACGCAACAGCAGCATGAGCCGCGCGAATGGCAGCGTGGCGTGCGACGGAGCACCGCGGGACAAGGCCGGGAACGCAACAAGAGATATGTCAACGACGGCGGAGCGCCAAAGGAGGAGAGAGGGGAAGAGAGGAGTGAACAGAGCCAGCCTTCGGGTCTCGATGCCGTCAGGCGCGCCATCGTTCCGCTGCCGCTGGTCTCGTCGGTCCTCGTCGGTTCTCGGACCCGGTGGTTCGTGGAGGGCGGGTCCTCCCAGAGTGGGGCCAGGGAGCGGCCCGGCCAGATATGCTCCCGTCGAGCGCGCTTCCCTCTTCCGGGAGCCGTCCGGGGGCGATTCTCCCTCCGGCCCCCACCCTCCTCCTCCTCCTCCTCCTCCTCCTCCACCTCCTCCTCCTCCTCCTCCTCCTCCTCCTCCTCCTCCTCCTCCTCCTCCTCCTCCTCCTCCTCCTCCTCCTCCTCCTCCTCCTCCTCCTCCTCCCCCTCCTCCTCCCCTCCTCCTCCTCCTCCTCCTCCTCTTTCTCCTCCACCTCCTCCTCCTCCTCCTCCTCCTCCTCCTCCTCCTCTCCTCCTCCTCCTCCTCCTCCTCCCCCCCTCCCCCCCTCCCCCTCCCCCTCCTCCTCCTCTTCCTCCTCCGCCTCTTCCTCCTTCTCCTCTGGGCCTCCTAGATAGGTTCGGAGTAGAGGGGGTCGGAGGATCGCGCCGTATCGCCGATGCATCGACGATGCGGCTCGATGCGGAGCCCGGTTGTTGTCCACGCCGATGCGGCGCGATCCTTCGACCCCATCTACTCGGACCCCATCTGGGAGGCCTCTACTTTGTGCCCCCCGGATCGGACGTGCTCCTGGCGCGGGCCGCAGGCGTTCTCCAGTGGCCGCGCCCCTCCGCGATTTTTTTTTATGTTTTTTTTTTTTGTGTGTGTGTGTGTGTGTTCTCTCTCTCTCTCTCTCTCCCTCTCCCTCTCTCTCTCTCGGGGGGGTAGCGCCCCCGAGAGGCGCGTGCCGCACGGCCGCCGGAGAGGCCCCAAAGTTGGCGGCAGGCCCCCCTCTTCTGTTGAGATGGTCCCTGGGACGTGCGCTGGCCCAGGCGTGCGCGGCCTATGCCGGTGTCGTTTCCCCAGCCCCCAGCCCCATCCCCGTCCCCGTCGAGGACCCCAGCCCCATCCCCGTCCCCGTCGAGGCGATGCACCCTTCGAGGCGCCCCTCCTCTGTGGAGATGGTCCCTGGGGCGCGTGCTGGCCCAGGCGTGTGCGGCGCGTGCCGGTATCGTTTCACCACTCCCCAGCCCCATCCCCATCCCCTTCGAGGCCCCCACCAAATCCCCCCCCCCCAGCTGGGGATACGCCCTGCGAAGCCCGAAGGAAACAGCCCATATCCCCATCTGGGGGGGGGGGGCAGATCGGCCAGCGGGGCTCAGGCCACGCCGCTGGGGATGGGGGCCTTTTTTGACATCAACACGCAGGTGCAACTGCCACCTAATCGGGTCCCGCCGATGAAAAACCGCCCGGTCCGATCTCCTCCTCCGTAGAAGAGAAACGGCCTCCGCAAGGAGACGGTCACAGGCCGCCTGAATTCGCAGGCGTGCTCACAGAGGCGGAGGAGGACAAATGGGGCAGCGGGAAGAGGGGCCTGAAGTGCACAAGATGCACCAGCCATCAGAGCCCCGAATCATCAGGGGTAACTCGGGTCAGGGCTCACTCGGGTTCGTTTTTCGGGAATCCGAGCCCGAGTTACCCCGGACCCGAGTTACCCCGGATAATTCGGGCGTCCAGAGCCCCACATCATCAGGGGTAACTCGGGTCAGGGCTAACTCGGGTTCCTTTTCCGAGAATCCAAGCCCGAGTTACCCCGGACCCGATTTACCCCGGATAACTCGGGCGCCCAAAGCCACGCTTGGGGGCCACCTCCTCACCTGCGAGCTCAAAGCTGAGGGAGGAGGCGGCCGCTGCCGCGGGAGGCTCCTGGGCAACCATCGCCACTGCCAGCAGCCACCACATCCTCAACCCAGGAGGCATCCTCCTTGCGAAGTCGCGCAAGCTGGACCTCGAGGGCTGACCTGCTCCCAGCGGCGGGGGAGGAGGGGGAGGGGCAGCAAAAACGGGCTGGCTCGGGGGCGCTGGGCGACCAAAAGCACTCCCGAGGAGGCCAGAGAAGTTTCGAGAACAGATCCTCCTCCTCGGCGAAGGGCCCCTGCAGCGCACAGGACGTGCAGGGAAGGGCGGCAGAGGAGGACACGGAGCGGGGGCCCGACCCCACGGAGCCCCTCACGGGAGGGAGGCGGGAGGCCAGGCGCGCGCTCTGCGAGAGGGCACGGCCGTCCGTGCACGAAGAGCCAGGCCCACGCTTGCTTCCTCGAACAGGTGGGGTCCCCCCCCAGGAGATGACACCGACGACGCCATCGCCCCCAGAGGCATCACTCCCACCTCGAACAGGCGAAGTGCCAAATGAATACAGGGCCGCGTCCTCCTCGCCCGACGCTGCGCCCAGATCGTCAGGGATCACTGCAGTCAGAGAGCTGCTTCCTCCACCAACAGACTCGACGACGACGTCAGATTTCTCCGCCTCCAAAACAGGGGCCTGCGCAGCACGGAACACCGACCACGGTCCGTGCTCCACGAGAACACCCGCTCTGGACAGGATGCCGACCTTTGAACATCGGGCTCCAGTTGTCATACAGTCGGGGCCCTGAAGAAGGAACGCTTTTCGTTGGGGAGAGGCTCGGTGTTCCTTGATTGTTTTACCGTTTGCCCCTTAGGTTTTTGTATGGGAAATCGAAGTTTAACTTATGGAAAAGAGGGGCCTCGTTCCTTATTTAGGGTTCCTTAGGTCAACGCCCCGACTGTAACGAGTGGTTCTGGTGGGCCCCTGGCGCTGCTTTCCCAAGCCAGCGATCCCACCACGAGCTGAGCAGCAGCAGCAGCACCGGAGGCACACGGCCAGCGCTGGGGATGGGGGTCGGTGAAGCGGTGCTCGGTATGCTGTGGTGACGGATGTATATACATATATATATATATACATATATATATATATATGAATGTAGTCTTTCTTCATATCAATCGCATACTTTCTCAACTCGAGGAGCGAATTTACCAATTTGGGGTTTCTCCATTTTTTCAACAGCCCAAGGGGCGCCACGAGGCGCCCATGGGCGGGCAACGGGCGAAACGCGGCCCAGGCGGGCCCGCTCAGCGCACGGGGCGCACACGAGGCGCCCTCGACTGGCCACTCTGGAAAGGGGGCTCCTCGGCGATTCAAGCAGACAAGTTCCTCGACGATCTGTTTATGCAATGGCTCTTCGATTCAAGCTGACACTTCTACAGAAAGTGAACTGGTGTTTAGATCCTGCCACAACTCAACTTGTGTCTAAAATTGCTGCGGTGAGCGGCGCAGGGAAGAGAGCGCCGGCACACACACGCAGCCACCTACCGCCCCAACCAACCTCCATGGAAGCCATATTCAGTGCGAAAAATCTCATTCAAATTATTGATTTTTCGGGCCCTGTCCGAAGCCATCCGCCCCCGAAGAGATGGCAGATAGCTCCGCCAGGCCACCCTCACGGGGGAAACCTGCAAGCCCGATTCGCCCAGCATTCGCTGGAAAAAAGGGTTGGAATTGAAAACGCTAACTGCTTTAGCGATTAGTTTACACCAGTGGGGGTGAAACGGAAGAATCAACCACACTGGGGTGCAAGTCTCCCTTGGGCGCGGGGGGCTCCTGGGAAAAATACCCTCCAACAGAGATGAATTGAAGCATGCGTTGGTGAGCCGATTTCTGAATTCAAGTTTGACGTCCTTCTCCTGGCTGGTGTGGCTGCAAAATGCTAGCATGGTCTGGAGCATGGCCCTGGGCCAGGACCGGTGCACAGACCACGGGTGCGCACTCGTTGACGCCAGTGGGATCGTCAAAGTTGTGATCTTAAACGCTGGCTTTACAGAAAAAGCTCCTCCTGCGATGCAAACCGACAGTTGGAGCCAATGCGACTCCTTGACATGCCCTTCGTCCAAAACCAAACGGAAATATCTGGATCGGTGTTGCATGATACGAAGAAAGGCACTGAACTTTGCAAAGTCACGATATGCAATCAAAATGTCGTCCTTGAACCTCATGTAAACAGATACCTGGAAATGCATGCGTACATATTGCGAGCACGCCCAGGATTCTAAACGGTTTGCAAGGGCCACATCTGCCACTTCCCCAGAATGGATCAATCCCATGCCAGAGCCCACAACGACTTGGTGCCTGTGGTTTGGCCAGTGTGGTGATGACACGTACTGATGCGCAAGTAGTAACTGCAAAGCACGCTGAACGAGTGCTTTCTGAGCGCCTGTCATGTGAGACGTCGCATCCTGTATTAACTCGTCCATGGACCCAGACATGAAGTAGTCCTTGATGTCAATTTTCGCCAAGCGGGTGCCTGGCGCAGCGTGGCGGCCACGAAGATGCCGCGCAGCATCGACAGCATCGCGGACCAACCAGGGCAGATCGGAAAGATGTCTTCGAAGAACTCCCGATACCCACTTGGATAGCCCAGCGAAGGAATACTGTGCGCTACAATGCAATGCCCGGAACGTCACTGGATTCTTGTGGGTCTTGCACGTCTTGGCAAGACGAGCTGTTAGAGAAGCTCCTTTGATGTACATGCTGCGGATGATCTGCCCCGAAAGCCCCTCTACCCCCTCGTAGTCCTCGATGTCTCTTGCCACGCGAGCGTACTTTTTCCAGACATGGGTGAAATCGACATCGAACTCATCCAAGCTTTTGTACACGTCTGTGGTGAGTATGCCGAGGTCAATGCGCCTGTCGTCCATGAGCCGGACGAGCGTGAAGCCGACCTCCTTGTCGTTCGGCACAGCCACCATGTTGGTGCGGCGCAGCAACGAGAAGGCCAGCTTGACCAGGGGCAACGTGTTGGTTGGTCTGCTTCGGTGGCTAAGCTGCGACTTGCTTGCCGCTGCCGCCACGGCCTTGCGGAGGCCGTAGATCCAACAGTCCAGAGAGGGAGTGGACATCTTGTTGAATTCGGGGGTCTTCGATCCTTTCAGCTTGATGTACGCAGAATCACGGCGACTGCCATGGAACCATCTCCATTTGAATTTGTTGGCAAAGGTGCGAAGGTCATCAGCCAGCAGCTGATGATTCGGCATGGCTTGAGAAGCAAATATGAATTTAGGATTGAACGTGCTCAATAGCCAGAGGACTGGCCAGGGAACGTCGACGGCGTCGCGGAGCACTCCAGCAGGATGCTCGAACACCTTGACGCGCCCCGCCACTGAAGAATACCGCATTAACGATATCCATGTGGCCACGTTTGCCCCAGACAACAAGCGCAAGATCATGCGAGTCTGGGCCGAAGAGCTCCTCACTTCTTTCCGCGCTTTCCTTTGCCTTTCTTGCCATAGCCTTTGCCTTTCCCACCTTTTGGCTTGCCTTTGCCCTTCCCCCTGCCCGCGCCCTGTGGTTTGGGCGGCGTGCTGCGGGAAGCTGTCTGTTGCTTCCCCCGGGCTCCCCCGGGGGGTCCGCCGTTTTTTGCCAAGGCTTCGACGAACTTGGCTGTGTGTTCGTGGCCGGCGGTTGCACCGCCTGTCCCGGGAAGGTCTTCCACGACCATCGAGTCCTGGGCCGCCATTGCCTTCTGAACTGCAGCCTCCGCGATGTGTTCCACAGCGTTCTGGAAGAGGGACTCCGGCTTGGTCTGCAAAAGTTGCTGCTCCTTCTGCTCTTCGGCTCGCCGGTGTTTTTCGAGCGCGTCCCGCTTGCTGGCTTCAGTTTTCTCCACTTTCAGCACGGCCCGGCGGTAGAGCTCCTCCACCTTCTCGGCCCGCATCTCAGGGCTGACCTGCTTCATGAGGGGCTCCTCCAGGCCTAAATCTGAAGCTTGAGACGAACAGGCTTTGTCCATGATGTCTTCGCACGTCTTGGCAAAGACGCTCTTCTTGGACATTTCTGCTGCGTTAGCGGAGGAAGACTCCAGAGCCTCCACGTCGATGGCCCTCAACTCATGAGCGACCCATCTGTGCAAGGCAGCTTTAGCTTCTCTGCGGGTAAACCCCTTGGGAATCGTACATAACTGACCGGACGGCAACGCAACAGACACGTCCGTCGATGCAGCTGTGCTCCAAGGAGCGTCCAATTCCACGTGGTGGGCTGGGCTTTTGAATGGCCTCATCCCGTTGGGGTAAGACCCTTGAGCGAGAAGCTTGACGTCTTCAACTGCCTTTGCATGCATTGCCTTCGCCTTCACTGATTTACCCAAATTCTGCTCGAAATCGTACGTCACCTTATCCAAACTCTTGTTCAAAGAAGCTGGGAAACTCTTGAAGAATGTATTACTGCCAACGTTGCCCTGTGCTGCCTCTGGCGTGGCGGTGCCTCCAGTTGCACCTCCCACATCCCGATGAGAAGCAACTTGCAGAATGGCCTGCTGGAGGGCCTGGAAGTTCTGCTGATTTTGCTCGTTCATGGTGTGGAATGCTGCGATGAAAGCTTCGTTCTGCCTCGTCTGGGCCGCCACCTGCTCCCGGAACGTCTCGAGAATGGTCTGGACGGACTCCGGGGGGGGCGGCGGCGGCCGCGGTGGTTGCCGCGGCGACTGGCCAGCGGCCTGCCTGCCTTGCGTCGCATCGCTCGGGTGGGCCCCTTTGGGAACCTTCGGTGGCCCCTCATCAATCGACGCGATGGCTCGAGCTGCACTGGGTTGGGAACTGCTGCCGACACCGGGAGAATGCATGATAGACTCACTCTGGAAAGGGGGCTCCTCGGCGATTCAAGCAGACAAGTTCCTCGACGATCTGTTTATGCAATGGCTCTTCGATTCAAGCTGACACTTCTACAGAAAGTGAACTGGTGTTTAGATCCTGCCACAACTCAACTTGTGTCTAAAATTGCTGCGGTGAGCGGCGCAGGGAAGAGAGCGCCGGCACACACACGCAGCCACCTACCGCCCCAACCAACCTCCATGGAAGCCATATTCAGTGCGAAAAATCTCATTCAAATTATTGATTTTTCGGGCCCTGTCCGAAGCCATCCGCCCCCGAAGAGATGGCAGATAGCTCCGCCAGGCCACCCTCACGGGGGAAACCTGCAAGCCCGATTCGCCCAGCATTCGCTGGAAAAAAGGGTTGGAATTGAAAACGCTAACTGCTTTAGCGATTAGTTTACACCAGTGGGGGTGAAACGGAAGAATCAACCACACTGGGGTGCAAGTCTCCCTTGGGCGCGGGGGGCTCCTGGGAAAAATACCCTCCAACAGAGATGAATTGAAGCATGCGTTGGTGAGCCGATTTCTGAATTCAAGTTTGACGTCCTTCTCCTGGCTGGTGTGGCTGCAAAATGCTAGCATGGTCTGGAGCATGGCCCTGGGCCAGGACCGGTGCACAGACCACGGGTGCGCACTCGTTGACGCCAGTGGGATCGTCAAAGTTGTGATCTTAAACGCTGGCTTTACAGAAAAAGCTCCTCCTGCGATGCAAACCGACAGTTGGAGCCAATGCGACTCCTTGACATGCCCTTCGTCCAAAACCAAACGGAAATATCTGGATCGGTGTTGCATGATACGAAGAAAGGCACTGAACTTTGCAAAGTCACGATATGCAATCAAAATGTCGTCCTTGAACCTCATGTAAACAGATACCTGGAAATGCATGCGTACATATTGCGAGCACGCCCAGGATTCTAAACGGTTTGCAAGGGCCACATCTGCCACTTCCCCAGAATGGATCAATCCCATGCCAGAGCCCACAACGACTTGGTGCCTGTGGTTTGGCCAGTGTGGTGATGACACGTACTGATGCGCAAGTAGTAACTGCAAAGCACGCTGAACGAGTGCTTTCTGAGCGCCTGTCATGTGAGACGTCGCATCCTGTATTAACTCGTCCATGGACCCAGACATGAAGTAGTCCTTGATGTCAATTTTCGCCAAGCGGGTGCCTGGCGCAGCGTGGCGGCCACGAAGATGCCGCGCAGCATCGACAGCATCGCGGACCAACCAGGGCAGATCGGAAAGATGTCTTCGAAGAACTCCCGATACCCACTTGGATAGCCCAGCGAAGGAATACTGTGCGCTACAATGCAATGCCCGGAACGTCACTGGATTCTTGTGGGTCTTGCACGTCTTGGCAAGACGAGCTGTTAGAGAAGCTCCTTTGATGTACATGCTGCGGATGATCTGCCCCGAAAGCCCCTCTACCCCCTCGTAGTCCTCGATGTCTCTTGCCACGCGAGCGTACTTTTTCCAGACATGGGTGAAATCGACATCGAACTCATCCAAGCTTTTGTACACGTCTGTGGTGAGTATGCCGAGGTCAATGCGCCTGTCGTCCATGAGCCGGACGAGCGTGAAGCCGACCTCCTTGTCGTTCGGCACAGCCACCATGTTGGTGCGGCGCAGCAACGAGAAGGCCAGCTTGACCAGGGGCAACGTGTTGGTTGGTCTGCTTCGGTGGCTAAGCTGCGACTTGCTTGCCGCTGCCGCCACGGCCTTGCGGAGGCCGTAGATCCAACAGTCCAGAGAGGGAGTGGACATCTTGTTGAATTCGGGGGTCTTCGATCCTTTCAGCTTGATGTACGCAGAATCACGGCGACTGCCATGGAACCATCTCCATTTGAATTTGTTGGCAAAGGTGCCTCGTTCCTTATGGAAAAGAGGGGCCTCGTTCCTTATTTAGGGTTCCTTAGGTCAACGCCCCGACTGTAACGAGTGGTTCTGGTGGGCCCCTGGCGCTGCTTTCCCAAGCCAGCGATCCCACCACGAGCTGAGCAGCAGCAGCAGCACCGGAGGCACACGGCCAGCGCTGGGGATGGGGGTCGGTGAAGCGGTGCTCGGTATGCTGTGGTGACGGATGTATATATACATATATATATATATATATATGAATGTAGTCTTTCTTCATATCAATCGCATACTTTCTCAACTCGAGGAGCGAATTTACCAATTTGGGGTTTCTCCATTTTTTCAACAGCCCAAGGGGCGCCACGAGGCGCCCATGGGCGGGCAACGGGCGAAACGCGGCCCAGGCGGGCCCGCTCAGCGCACGGGGCGCACACGAGGCGCCCTCGACTGGCCACCAGCCGGGGCTCCAGGCCGCGCGTTGGCCCAGGCTCGTGTTCGCCCCGCTCGGCTCCGCCGACAACGCGCAGCCTGTGTCGGCCCTCGTTGCGCCGCCTGTGTCGTATCGAAGGGCCTCGGTGGACAAACACGCGTTGGCGCTAACACACGGTCTGAGGATCGTCCACTCTGGGCGGTATGTTTTGTCAATGCTTTATTTGTCGTCCAAAATCCGCCTGTAGGGGGGCATGCCCGACCTAACTATGGGCATCTTGATCCTTGCAGTTGAGCGCCGCCACAGCGAGGCAGTAGCTCGGCGGCGAGCGAGGGGGGGAAACGAAAAGGAGAGGGACTTCTCTCAGGAGGCTCGGAAGTCCCCCGACCTTCTGAGAAGTTTTCTAAGCCTTCCTGGAAGACACAGCAAAAACTCTCAGAAGGCGCGAGGGCTTCTGAGAAGTCCCGCTGGGCTGCGCCCGCCACCGGCAATTGTTTTCAGCATAATCCTGGCATTTGGCCGTCAGGATGGTTGTGGTGTCGATGAAGGTTATGCCGACCACGACGACGATGCTGCTGCTGTTTATGATTATGACGATGATGATGATAGCGACACTAATGAGGATTGTGATGATGATGGTGATCATGATCATGATCATGACGAGGATGACGATGACGATGCTGATGATGATGCTGCTGCTGATGATGGTAGTCAGGATGATGTTGATGAGTCTGATGATGCTGCTGCTGCTGATGCTGATGGTGATGCTGATGCTGATGTCCAGGATGACGGCGATGGTGATTCTGATTGTGTGAAGTGTTCTTCCAGTGCGCTCCGTTGCGTCTTCACCCCGCGCCCTCACCTGGAGCCGTGCTTCTGAAGCGACTGGCTGTCGCCGCTTTACGCTCGCAGCACGGTCATCCACTCGGGTAGCTCGGGCTGCGACACGGCTGGGTCGTCGTGCAGTTGGACGCGAATATCTTGCCGATCCGAATTGCATTTGGGGCCCTGCCGGTGCGCGCTCAGAGATGGGCGTTCTTGCGGATGCTGCGGCTCGTGCCCTACGCCTCACACGTCGTCACCGACCTCGCCCCTTTGGCCAAGGAGGTGGAGGAACGGAGGGAGGATCTAGCAGCCCACGCTCCTAGCATTGGCCTGAGCCCTCCTCCTCCTCCTCCTCCTCCTCCTCCTCCTCCTCCTCCTCCTCCTCTAGCAGCCCACGCTCCCAGTGCTCTCATTTCTGGCGGAGCGTGTTCGACCTGGCCGAGGGGCCGCCTCGCCCTGGAGTCACCTGACGCCCCTGCTCACGAGGACACTGCGTTTGTCCTGCGGAGTTCGGGGCAGCACGACGTCAACGATCTCTACGGCGACGCGCGGGTTGATCTAGTCACCAGGGTCGGGGCGCTCCCACCTGTCAGCCCCCTTTGTGCTGCTGGGCCGATGCAGAGCCCCTGCGACCAGGGAGACGACAGTCAACCCGCGTAGTAAGAACGAGCGACTCTCCGAGGTCACCCTTGCATCCTGCCCCTTCGGCCCATCCCTGGCAGCTTTCGCTGGCCAGCCCCGCTCGAGAGACGTCGACGTGGCCTTCCAAGGCCCTTGTATCCTCATCGTACGTCCTTGCCATACGGGTTGACTGTAGTCGGCTGCGGTCTGCAGGCCAAGTGCCATCCGCGTGCTGGGGTACCCCTTAGCGGTCACACCCGCGCTGCCCTGGGGCAGCTGCGTTTTCCACATATGTCGTAGCCTCCTCGTGGTTAGGGCGGGGTCACTGGAGTCCCATGTTCTCCTCTTCCTCCTCATTCCTACTCCTCCTCCTTCCTGCTCCTCCTTCTCCTCCTTCGTTCCTTCCTCCTCCTCCGCCTCCTCCTCCTCCTACTCCTTCGTTCCCTCCTCCTCCTCGTCCTCCTCCTCCTCCTCCTCCTTCGCTTCCCTCCCCCCCTCCTCCTCCCTGCTCCTCCCTGAAGACCGGCCCCCGGGCCGCAGCCGCGCCTCTCTCTCTCTCTCTCTCTCTCTCTCGCACCCTTCGCGCCTCTCACTCTCTCTCTCTCTCTCTCTCTCTCTCTCCCCTCCCTCGCCCCCTCGCGCCACGGCCCCGCGGGCCCACCCCCAGGCGGCCCAGGGCCTCCGCGGCCTCTGGGCGCGGGCGCGCGGGCTGTCGAGCCGCAGCCAGGCGCCTCCCCCCCCCGCTCGCGAGCCTCTCGCCGCCGGCGCACGGCCGCCCACGCGGTGGGGTCCAGGCCAGGTGGCACGCGAGGCTTTGGGAGCCTGCAGAGATCAGCAGAGGGCGAGGAGGAGGAGGAGGAGAAAGAGGACGAGAAGGAGAAGAAGGAGGAGGAGGAGGAGGGAGGAGGAGGAGGAGGAGGGCGAGGAGGAGGAGGGCGAGGGTGAGGAGGAGGAGGAGGAGGAGGAGAAGGAGGAGGAGGAGGAGGAGGGGGACCAGCGAAAAGCCAAGGGTCATCAACGATGTTCGGATCAATCCTCCCGCCAGGCTCCCTCTTCACAGGCCCCTGCAACGCTTCATTTCCGCAGGGAACTGCCTCGTTGGAAGACAACCGTTTGAAGACCCTGAAGCATGCCAAAACATTGTTGTCGGGATTCAACGCCATGGATCAACCTGACTGCTGCGTCTTGATGGTTTTTCATCGTGCCAGAAACCATTCCTGGGACATTAACACCGCGACTCGTCATAACTGATGCACCCTCATACTCCAGAATCCTTCCAAGACGCCATTTGTGGTACGCCGATCATGGGAATCCGTGAACCCCTTGCAACGTTTATAAACGAATGTGCGCGGCGCTAAGGCGAGAGCAAGATTTTGAAGAGGAACCGCCCTCAATATGTGCAGCTCTTGCAATTGTTTTACAAACGAATGTGCGCGGCGCTAAGGCGAGAGCCACATTTTGAAAAACACCCACCCTCAATTCGTGAAACTCTTGTCATTGTTTACAAACGAATGTGGGCCGCGCTAACGTGAGAGCCACATGTTTAAAACCATCCGTCCTCAATCCGTGAAGCGCCTTCAATGTTTCAACACCAATGTTCGCGGCGCTAGAGCGAGAGCCACCTTTCGATAATGGATCGCCCTAAATGCGTCAAACTCTCTTAGTTTTGTTGACGAATGTGCGCGGTGCTAAGGCGAGAGCCACATTATGAAAACGGCCCGCCCTCCATCTGTGTGTGTGTGTGAAACTGTTGTCCATGTTTCAGCTTCAGGGTCATACATGGTTTTGAAGTCTCAGGCGAAACGCCCAGACCGCCCTAAACACTGGCCTCGGGGTGCGACAGGGAGAAGTTATTTATAAGGGAAGAAGCATGGGGGAGGAGGAGGAGGAGGATGAGGAGGAGGAGGAGGAGGAGGAGGAGGAGGAGGAAGAGGAGGGGGAGGGGGAGGAGGAGAAGGGGTAGGAGGAGGGCCCGTGGGGGAGAAGACAAAAACCTAGAAAAGATGGGGAATCTGCGAAGTCCTATTATTCCTGTGTATTTATTTGTGTGTCCCAGGTCCCCTTCAAGTTGTTCCGGGGCGAGTTGAGACAACGGTCGTCGAGATTCCCCGGGATGCCTCGCGGTGAGTTGCGAAGAGAAAGGATCGGCATGAGCATAAATTGTCCGGGTTCCGCGCGGATTTCTCGGATCTGCGTTGGGCCCTCCTCCCTGGCGCGCGGAGTGGTTTGTTCCTCTGAAGAGGGCGAGTTCGCCTCGGGGCGAGTTGAGACAGCGGTCATCGAGAGCAGAAGGACCCCCAGCCCTAATGCAGTCGGCCCGAGGTCTAAGAACGAGGCCGTTTCGGGGAGGGCACCCTGGTGTTTTTCGTGTCTGTTGGGTGTTCTTGTGCACCCTGGGCAGGGTACCCCTGGATGTTCTGTGTTTTCGGGGCGACGGAGGGTCTCGCGTTCTTGAGGGGTGTTCTTCTGGCTTAGGTCCGACTGTAACATGATGAAGACGTGGCCTCACTTAGGTCCCCGTCTTCGCATCAGGGTTAGTAGATCTGGGCGGTCGGGTCTGATGCACCTGCTTGGCATGGGGACGGAAAGCGCTTCTATCTTGAGGGCGCGAGGTCGCTGGCTTAGTGTCTTGGAGCCCTGTTGGTGTTAAGGAACCTTGCGAAAGACAATACATATTGCATTTCTGGGCCTTCCTGGGTGTCCTTTTGGACCTCTTTTCGGCCGTCTTGGGGCCCTCTTAGGCCGACCCCGGACCCTCTTGGGCGTGGGCCGGCTTGGGGCCCTCTTGGGATCCTCCCGGGTCCCCTTTTTGGACCTCCTGTGGCCCTCTTGGGTC